CCACACTTCCTGGATTTAAAATTTTCATTTCTGTTGTTTCTGTGATGCTTAGACCTCAGATTATATGACACAAATTCATGGTTTGGTAAATAAGATTACGTGACCATATGGCATCCATCGTGCCTTCTGAAGTAACATAGGTGAACATTTTGTTTCTCCAGTTTTAGGGTTAAAAGCTCTTGATTGTTTTTGATTCTTTTGAAGTTGGTGATATGTCCAATGCATCTGTAACTAGGATTCTCCAAGCACATGTCCCCCAAAAGGCACTTGCCTGAGCAATTCCATAAACCATCCACGTAAAAGAAATAATAAACCCAGGAAGGAAGATGCTAGATAGGTAATAAATACATCTTCCATACTGTTATCCTATTTAGAATAGAAATGATTTGTTTTGAGGTAGATCTGTACTGTACTGAGGAAACAGCAACAACCCCGTATTCTCTTACTCCTATGTACACTCTTCTTTGCATGTAAGTTGGTGCACACCCTGTATGAATGTCTGCTCATGATGGGTGAATTTAGTTTGGTGAAAACTCATCACCAGCATCACCACCAGCATCATCACCACAATCATCATGATTGTGAATCAGATAGAGATTTTGGAAGAACTGACCTTGGCATTGTTGTCAAGTAGGTGGAACTTGTCAGAAGGTCATCTTTTTCCTCTGACTCCTTTCTAACCTCCTCTTTTCTCCCAAGTATATAGTGCATGTTTTCATTTTATTTCTTTTTAGAGCCTTCTCTTAGCTGTTAGCTGGAGAGTTCTTGAAATTTGATTCACCCCAGGATTGAAAACTCATATCTTATCTCTCCCAAAGGAATTTTCTGGATGAGGCCCTAAGCCAAAGGTATGACTGTCTAATAGTGGAATTTCAGTCATCTGGGACACACCAGAGAAGATGTGTTAAGAGGCTTTTCCTGGTGTCCTGTGAATTACAGAACTTGAATTATCTTCATGTGTCCTTTTTTTTCCCCTAAAAGTGCTATAGTTTTATATTTTACATTTAAGTCTATGATCCATTTTGAGTTACCTTTTATATAAAGTATGAAATTGAAGTTGATGTCTATGTTATTTGATGTCCAGTGGCTCCAGCACCACTCGTTGAAAAGGCTATACGTTCCCCATTGAATTCATCGCACTACTATCAAAAATCACCTGGGCATGTTTGTGTGGGGCTGACTGTGTGTTCTCTGTTCTGCTCCATCGATGTACATGTCTATCTCTCTACCACTATCATGCGGCCACAATTACTGTAGCTATATAGTAATCCTTCACATTGGGAGGATAGATTCCTTTATTCTTTTTCAAAATTACTTAGACTCTTTTCGGGCCCTTCTCTTACGTTCACGAAGAAACCTATCCGCCAATGTTCATAGCACCATTACTCAAAATAGCCACAAACTGGAAACTTCCCAGATGTCCTTCAATGATGAATGGTTCAACAAACCGCAGTGCGTCTACACCATGGAACACTACTCAGCAGTAGAAGGGAACGAATGACCAATACATGCAGCAGCAGTGTGGATGGACCTCAACGAAATGAGGCCATGTAAAACAGCAAATCTCCAAAGCCTACGTACTGCGCTATTCCATTTATATAACATTCTTGAAATAATAAAATTAGAGATAGGAACAGGCTAGTGGTTGTCAGGAGTTAGAGATGGGGTAGGGGTTTGGTGTCCTCCCCATGAAGGGGTAGCACGAGGGATAGGACAGTTTGGTGTCTTGATTGTGGTGGTTATACAAAGCTACACATGCGATCTAGTTGCATGGATACCCCCTCCCCCCTCCCCCAAAAAGTGCTTGTAAAACTGGTAAAGTCTTGGGGCACATGGATGGCTTGGTTAAGAGTCTGACTTTGGCTCAGGTTATGATCTCGGGGTCCTAGGATTGGGCTCAGAGGGGAGTCTCATTGTCCCCCTGCCCCTCCCTCTGCTCGTGCTCTCTCTCTCTAATAAATAAATAGAACCTTAAAAAAAAAACCTGGTAAAATCTGAATAAGCTCTGTGGATTGGGCTGGTGTCTCTAGCCTAGTTTCAATATTTTGATAGTTGTATTATAGTTATTTATGCTGGGTGTTTGCATTGGGGGAGTCTGGGTGAAGAGTGCATGGGACCTCCCTATTCATTTCTTTTCAGTTTCCTGTCTATAATTATTTCACACTAAAAAGTTAAAAAGAACTCAGAAAACAATGCTATGGTCTGTTTATGTTGCATCAATAATGGCAAACCTATAAAAATCCAGACGTGTTGCCTCTGCAGAGGGAGGGCAAGTGGCTTCTTCTGGCTCTGTAACATTTTATTTCTTTAGAAAAAAACAAAACAGGAAAACAGCAAATATGACAAAATGTTAACATTTGTGAATTTGGGTTGATGGGTTTATTGGTTTTTATGTTTTTCTCTGTCCTTTTTATGTATTTGAATTATTCCATTATTTAAAAAATGAAATAAATGTAAGAAAACCAGTAATTATGCCAGGGTACATACCTGTCTCCATGTTATCTTGATCTGTTCACAGAATTTATCTGAACATTTAATATTTCCCCAGTAAAACTGCTACTCACTCACAGACTTCTTCCTTCTCTCCATGAATTACTAACTCTGGGTCGGGAAGCCCAAGAATGTAATCCATCTTTTTTACTATGACAAGCTAATTTAATTTTAATTGCTCTTTATAGTATTGCATTATGAGGAGGAACTATCTTTAATTATCTTTTTGGGGGGTTGTTTCTAAAGTAATGTGATCTCGGGAGCTGAGACTCATCCTTTCCAAGAGCAGCCACCTGACTGTGAGCATAAAATATTTGTGCTCAACAGTGTAAATAGACTTCTCTGCTCCTCTGACTGGCAGAGCCTGCCCTCCCCTTGAAGCAATTAAAAGAATTCCAGGTGGGTGGTTCTCCCCTTCCTGGTCCTATTTGAAATACAAATGTCGGTTCAGAGATCTGCGCCCCCCGCCGCTCCGAAAACACCAAGTGCGTGGCACAAGAATGGGACCAGGTTCTTCCAATCCTCATTGAAATAGTGGCTGCGCCCTTTTGAGGTCATTTTTCTTGGTGACATGTTAAACAATCTCAGGTCAACCAGAGTCCTTAGAGGTCCCCGTGGGTGTCAGGAATGCAGGCCTAACCAGTGTCCGAGCTAGGCACATGGAGGCGCCCTTCAGCTCCTCTGGCCCAGAGCCCCGTCTCGCTATTAAAGAAAAGGGTATTCTGTTTGTTTGTTGGCTTTTCATTTCTACCTCGACCCCCTCAGCTCTCTCCATGCACTGCCATCGTCCGCTGCTGTTACCCACTTTGAGGTGGGGGGGGTACTGTTTAGATGGCGCCCAGAAATGCCATTGAAAACGTAGAGAAGTCTTCACACTGCTCTTTGTGGAGTGGTGGCCTCCCTTCCCGTGGGCACACCCTGAGGCTGGAGCCCTCCCGGCTACCCAGTGGCTTTTGTGTGTGTGCAGCTTTCAGCTCCTGTCCATCAGTCTGAATGGGCCCATTCAAGGGTATTCATGCGCCTCGGAGACCCCGGCCGCCTGGACACAATCAGCTGAGAAGGGCGCTGTGGGCCCTGCACAGGAGAATGCGCCTGCTCGGCCTGCCTCCAGAAGCCCCGATTGTTCGGCCGAGCCCGGGGCCCAGGAGTGAGCCCAGAGGGGTGACGCTGGACAGCCATGTGGGGCTCATTCATTCTGTGTGCTTGGGGGCTCGGGAAGGGAGGGGTGGGAATACCTTGCAGCAAAGGAAGACTGTGCAAGCGTGGACCTGCTGGAGCTTATCTTTGGCTCTGACCTTCAGCTTTTCTCTTTGTGGATCACCCATCTGATCCCCTGCTTAAGAATGGAGACCTTGCCTTTTTTATCTTCGTAGTCCTACATCCCCTAGGCTCTCAATAAGTGCTTGTCGAATGGGTGAACCGGGTTGGTGCTCCTTCCATTTAGGCCGAGGGGGCACAGATGTAGACGCACTTTACCGTTCATTTGAAGAGGCTATGGTGTCCTCTGTCCCCGGGGTGCGGGCAACCTTCTGAAAGAACTGGGATTGCCTGATGTTTGGAGGGACAGTAGAATTGAGACCCTGGAGGGACAAAAGAACATTTTCAAGGCGGCAAGCGGCCATAGAGGATCTTGTGGCCTGCCTCTGGAATCTGAAAGATCAACCATAGGCCTGTTTGCAGGAAGGGGCAGTACCTGGGGCTGGCTTGGACCCAGTTGGTGGTAGATGTGGATTTGGGAGCAGGGACTTAATGGACTCCCTGTGGCTTGTGCCATTTGGCAGGCAGGACCCTGGAAACCTCTGGCTCTCAGCTCTGGCTTGTGTCCTCACTGTGGCTCGGGCCCCTTAGGACCATGCTGAGAGCAGTGGGAGAATGAAAAACACAGACCAGAATGCCAAGGGGGCCTGGTGTTCCCCAGCTTTGCAAAGTTGTGTTTGGTGATCTCAGGAGCAGTAGTGGTCTCAGCTGAAGAAATAGAATCACTGGGAACTTACTGGGTTAAGTGCTTTCTACGTAATACGTATTATTCCCATTTACAGATGGAATAGCTGAGGCTCAGAAATATTAAGTGGCCTCCTAAGGCTTGTGGCTGAGATTCAGTGGAGACAAGGGCTCAGGCTCTTAGCAGCTAAGGTGAGGGTTGCTGCAAGGATTACCCTGGTGCAGAGAACCAAGTGATTGTCCTAATTTCTACCTCGGTAGAAACTAAGTGCATGAGCGGGGGGAGGGGCAGCGGGAGAGGAGACGCAGACTCCCTGCTGGGTGTGGAGCCCAAGCAGGGAGCAGGGTTGGATTTCCACTGGATCTTCGGTACCCTTCTGTCAAGTGCATCAGAAGTCAATTTCTTCCCCGGGTATGGCCAACTTCCTACAAAGGGATGAGACTTCCTATTCAACTGCAGAGGGCAAAGCTATGCCTAGGGAGGGGATAAAAATTCAACTCCAGGCCCCAAAGAGAAAGCATGTTGTAGCGTGGAACTTGGTGTAGTTTTGTTTGTACCATGGTTCCAGAATCCCTTTCTCCTCTGCCTCGGGGACCTTGCGCTGCGTTGGACCAGAGTGTTCTGCCGCCGTATGGCTGTGTGGGTCCTGTGCCTGGCTCTCTTCAGAGACTCTGCCTCCCTCCCACCTGGGGGACTAATTCTGCCTTGAGAAGATGGGTCAGACGGCCAATGACAAGGTGTGTTTTCTGCCATCTTCATTTCTAATTCTGTAAGCATTGGAAAGACCTTGAGCAAATGACTCAACCACTACAAACTTAGCTGTCTCATCTGCAAAACGGGGCTAACCATAGACTGGGGGGGGGGGGGGGGCTTCACTGAGATGACATGAGTAAGACATCACCAGACCTGGTAAGGACTCAGTGAAATGAGTTTCAGTTTTTTCAGTTGAATGGACTGTGTTTAGGCCTGGGGCAAGCTGAGGGTTATTACAGTGACCCCACTGGCTGACCGCTTTCAGTATATCGAGCAGTCAGGTGAAAATGAAAATGCCCTTGGCTTCTCTGCCCTTTTATCCTCATGGGTTTTGGAGGGTGGAGCCCAGAGAGGACAGTGACTTGTCCAGTCTGGATGGATATGTCTAGAAACTGGGAAGTTCGTTCTCAGCAGTGTTCAGCCTGGACTGAATCCCACACCATGGGTTTTTCTTTTTTCCTCTCTCCCTGTCTCTGAAGGACATCATTTGGACAATTGGCAACCGGTGAATAAAGTCTGTAGATTAGATGATAGTATTGTGTCAATGTGAACTTCCTGATTAGGCAAATAAACTGGTAATGTAAGAGAATGTCTCTTTTAGGAGATATACACTGAAGTGTTTAGAGGTAAAGGGGTATCTTGTGTGCAACTTACTCTCGAATGTTCAGAGAATAAACTATATGGAGAGAGAGGACAGATTAAATGTTAACATTTGGGGTATTTAGGTAGATGGAACCCATTTTACTCTTGCTACTTTTCGGTAGGACTGAAATTATTAAAAACAAAAACCAAAACCAAAAAACAAACAAAAAAACCCACCTCATTTGGCTGGCTCAGTTGGTAGAGCATGCAACTCCTGATCTCAGGGTCATGAGTTCAAGTCCCATGTTGGGCATGGAGTCTACTTTAAAAAAAAAAAAATCGACCCTCATCTGGTTAGGGCCCACATGAAATAATAGCACCAGGATGTCAGACTTATTGTAGAGCAGACCTGTGATCAAGGTGGTGTTTCTGGCAACTCCCGCCTTCGTGTTGTTGTAGTGGGGGGTCCATGTGAAAGGGTGGGGATGTGGGTGGCCCTCAGGAGTGGAGTGAGATAGACCAGCTGAGTGAAGAAGGAAGCAGAGGGTGGATAAACTGAGAAGGAAGTGGCCTGCGAACACGGTACCTTTCCACCGGAACAGGAAGGAGTGCTCGGGCAATGGTGCAGGCAGAGAACAGGAGAAACCGAGGGCTGCCAGGAGACTTGGCTCTAACTTGGACCTTGGAGAGTGAAACTGTAGGAGAACCAGGCAGGGTTCCGATGGACAGGGCAGTGGGCGGGTAGGTCAGAAGATCCTAGGAGGGTGCCTGGTACCACATGGTGCTTTAGGACCAGTCAAATTTGAAAAGTGGGGTGCAGAATGTGGGCTTCCAGGTGCCCTTGACCCCAGGGCAAAGAGCTTGTGTGATTTACACAATTAGCATCTACTGGTATGCTGCAGCAGAGTGGACACCCTTGGGAGTGGACTGTCGCAGGAGAACCAGGAGGAAACCCCTGGCAGGAGATTTGGGGCTGAATCCTCCTCGGGTCCTCCTGCCAGCAGTGGAGTCTCCGTTTTGAGGGCCTGCGGTGTGTAGGCACCCAGTTCAAGTTCACTCACTCTACAGTGCTACTTTGTCTAAACGTAGCACATGAATGGTTCTTGCTGCAAAAGATTAAAATCAAACAGAAGGAACGGGCCAGCAGCCTCCTCCAGCCCCACCCCCGGTCCCATCCCAGAGGTAACAGGTGTGGACAGCTCCCTACAGTCCCTCTTCAGATCTCTGCGATTTCATGTTTGCAGAAGGGCTGTACTTGTGGGCTCTGGAACCAGACTTCCTGGGTTCACGAACCACTTCCACTCCCTACCAGCTTTGTAACTCTGGGCACACTACCTACCCTCATTGAAGCCTGCATTCCCTTATCTGTAAAATGAGATTAATCTTACCGACCTAATAATAGGGGTCTTGTGGACACTAAGTGAGTTGGCACGTGAAAAGTATTTAGAACAGGGCCTGGCAGGTAGTAACTGCTCAAGAAATGGTAGCTGTCCTTATCTAGTGATATATAAGGACCTATTTTTTGTTGTTAAAAAACAAGTCCGACTCTGTTTTCATCAATAGGGTTCTTAGTTACAAACAATAGCTCTCAACTGGCTGAGAGCAGCGGAGAAGGAATTTCTTGAAAGGACATCAGGGTGGTTCCCAGACTTGCTGAGGAGGCCGTGGGCTCAGTCTGTGGGGACCAGGCAGCAGCCCAGACCACGGCCACCATTAAGCCATAAAACCGGGCTGATGCCATTGGTGTAGTTAATGTTGCCAGCCTTTGTGGCCCCCGGGCGGGGGGTAGACCGTGTCTCCCACCAGGACTTGAAGGGGCAAGGATTCTTAGATATGGGGAAGGAGTTCAGATGCCAGGGGCCCAGCGTCTCCCTGAATAGTCTGTTATTCGCCCAAGCTGTTGGTGTCCAAGGAGACACCTTATCTCAGTCTTTTTCATGGTTGCATGGTATTCCCAAGATGGACTTGACTTACTCGCGCACTCCCGTAGTGATGAACTTGTAGGCTGTTGATGCTTCTTGCCCTGTTGCAACATGCCCCACAGAACACACTCGGACATGTATCTTGACAGCCAAGTGGCTTTTCTGTTGGGTAGGTTCTTAGAGATGCTTTTCTTATATTCTGTGGACATTGAAAGACATTTTGAATATAAGTACGTAGCATTTTAAGGAGTTTTTTAAAAATCGTGGTAAAATGCACATAACATAAAATTTACTATCTTAGCCATTCTTACGTGTATAGTTGGGTTACGTACCTTCACACCGTGTGCAGCCGTCACCGCCCTCTGTCTCCAGGACTTTTCTCATCTCCCCACACTGAAATTCTGTCCCCATTGAACAGCTCCCGCTTCCTCCTCCCCCCTGGCAACTCCCTTTCTACTTTGTGTCTTTATGAATTTGATGGTCAAGCAACTTGTTAGAGTTTTATCCCCAAAGTCATCCGCACGGGAGTGATTGGTGGGGGTCTAAGGGATGCTTTTGATGGGGAACTTGAGCACCTTTGAAGAGGGGTGGGGGTGAGGGGTGCAGACACCACCGTAGGTGATAGCTCAGGGTTTTTCTGAGCACCTGCCACGTGCCTGGCACCCTGCCCTGCTCTGTGCAGTCGTTCCTGCAGCAGCTGGAGCTGTGGCATCACCATGGGCACTTTGACAACTCGGGATGCCGGGGCCGGGCCCGGTGGCTGGGCTCCACTCATCAGGACTTCATAAGGCTCCAGGTGATTCCAGTATACATGCCAGGTGAGGAACCCCTGCTCTAGAGGACAGATGGACTTAGTCACCACCCCCATGTGGGGTGGGGATTAGGATTATTCCTAATTTCAGGTCTGAACAAGTGTGACTCAGCCAGTGAGGCAGTCCCACCTCCTGGCCCAGACCCCTAACTGCAGGGATTTCATGGCTGCCCCCCTGGATGGAGAGGGGAAGCAGCAAGCACCCCCCCCACACACACACAGAGGAGGCTCCTATCGCTTCCTCGTCTTGTGCCTCATCTTGGGGTCTCATCCACCTGCTTTCAGATTGCCTGAATGCCACGTCTCTGGTCTCCCTGCTTGGGGTTTGCTCTGCCTGGAATGTTGTTACCCTCACTCCTCAGATAATTTCCACTCACCTGCCCCCACTTGAAATTAGGCCCCCCTGTTCTTTTTCCTTCCTAACTGCTAGAAACGCTATGCGATGATGTATTTGTCTGTTTTGATTTCCCAGTTGCTGGCATGCAGTAAGTTAGAGGTGAATGAATGGGAAGAAAGCAGTAAGGAGCAGGAGTACACACATAACTGGGAAAGTCAGGAGAACTCCCTGCCCCTACAGTGATGGGCCGTAAGAACACACATGGAAGTGACCTATCTTTCCAGGGGCAGATGAGGGGCTTGGACCGGCCGGCTGTGATCTTGCTCAGAGTTAGGGTCCCACCTTCTGAAAGTGGGGACGACAGGCAGTGGGGCTAGGATGGTGGCTCACAGGCCCCTTGCCTGTTGGAGTCCCCTGGGGAGCCCGACACCTAGTGTGCTGGGCCCAGCCCTAGACTTGGATCGAACTGGTTCCAGCCATGGGTGGTTGGTGGGAAGGCGAGGGTGTAGCTGAGTGACATGGACTGGAAGGTCAAAGGGGGCAGAGGTGGGATGCCCTAGCAGGAGCTGGGCGCGGCGGCTGGGTTGAATCTGCTGCAGCTTGTGCAGGCAGGCACCCGCAGCCAGACCACAGAGCCCTGGATGGTGAGCAGGTGATTTCAAAGTCTCTGCTATGGGTCAGTGCTTTGGGGGTTTCTCAAATGTTGGACTTGATTTTTTTTTTTTTTTAAGATTTTATTTATTTATTTGAGAGAGAGAGAATGAGAGACAGAGAGCATGAGAAGGAGGAAGGTCAGAGGGAGAAGCAGACTCCCTGCTGAGCAGGGAGCCTGATGCGGGACTCGATCCCGGGACTCCAGGATCATGACCTGAGCTGAAGGCAGTTGCTTAACCAACTGAGCCACCCAGGCGCCCTTGATTTTTTTTTTTTAATACTCTTTTCACTATGTAAAAATGTGCAACCAAAATAAAATATGTCCGATTAAATACCCCACCTTCCAACACACTAGAGAACAGTGATGCACTGACTGGAGCTGCTTCGGTAGCTCACATTGGGACAGATAAGTCCCCTGCCTGTTTCCATCTGGTTTGGAATTCTTTAATAAGTGCACTATTGGTTACGAAGCTTGTAGCCACACCCCAGGTTTGTTAAATATTCGAGCATGCATAGTCTGCTCTCAAGCCATTATGCAGATACTCACCCCTGCTGGTGGGCCTGGCTTGGGGTGTCTTCATAGCTCAGTGGCCAGTTTAATAATGTGTGATGTGTCCCTTTGTGGAAGTGTCTCATGATGGGTGGTTCCATTGCAGGGTTTGGATGCGTCTTATTTGG